ATATATACAAACTCCTGTATCAATGTTGTGGAATCACCGCCAAATGTAGATTTCTTGATCCAGTAATTGGGCATTGGTTATATACTAATGGTTCCGAAAGAAATTTCAATGAAATGGTAAGATTTCAATTACACCTTATTGTGCGAAATCTAAGGTTTAAACTTAATAATATGAATGTATTATTAAACAAATGTCAACTTAAAAAAGATTATTAATGCTGTATGAATTATTAAAATTGCATCAATATATAGCGATGGGATTAAGTATCTTACAAGTAGGTTCGAATCTCTTAAAGAAGTTTCAGACTCTCTATGATTACTTCGAAAAATAGTAGCAGTACTTCCAAGTAGATTCAAACCTAAACGAAATAGGTTCGAACCTCTATGAATACCTCGAAAAATAAAAATAGTACTTCCAAGTGGACTCGAACCTAAACGGAATAGGTTCGAACCTTCTATGAGTACCTCGAATGCACAGATCATATGAATTTCTGTTCGTTAATAACCCTGTTCGAGTACTACTTGTAAAAGATTCGATATTGTACGATAAAAAGTACTTTGTAAGTATATTTCGAATCTTGCAGGTACTCGTATGTAAGATTCGAAACCAGCAATTTGGGATCGATTACTTTGCAAGTATGAAGTATGAAATATTATTTCTTATGAGTATTACTCGAATCCTAGAAAATGAAACTAAATTATTGAATTTGACTCGAATTTTTAAGTACATATTGAGTTCGATCTCATCTCTATCAATATATTCATCAAATTCTAAATAGGTACTGCAATACTTTCAACAAGGGAATATTATAATGAAACGTACAAAATCTTGTTATTATGCTGGTCCCGGGATGGATGCACAAAATTCTTTACCAGGCGAGTTTAGATCAGCAGCAGAAGCTGTGCTTACATGGCATATGATGGATAATATTATGAATAAATTAGAAGAACTTAATCCTGTTCTACTTTATACATTTAGAGGTATATACCTCTATACATAAATATATATTATCTCTATTTTATAACGTCTATTATAATGTATAATGTCCATTTTCAGAAATAGAAATGAGAATTATGACAACTTTAGCTTGTATGGAATTGTCAGGCATTGCCGTAAATCTAAAATCTTTGCAAGAGTTATCATCAGTTGTGTCAAATGAAATGCAGTCTTTAGAAACGAAAGCTTATGATTTAGCAGGTAGAAAATTCAATTTTTCATCATCCAAAGAAGTCGGTCAGGTCTGTAAAATAAAAATTTTATATATATTATACATATTGTGTGTGTATATAATATATATATATACACATACATACATATATATATTGTATATACACAGAGTGAGACAGAAGTATCGAAACTGCTGAATATCTTTCAGAAAATATATTTTTTACAGAAAAGTGTTTCAGACAAAAGTTGTAGAGTTAGAAAGACCTTTTTACTGATTTTATCAGTTTGACCTTGGGCATCGTCAAAGTCAGGTCAAGATTGAATCTATTTTTTGAAATAGAAACCCCCATTTGCATATTCTTGTAGCTTATCTCGAGAACTTTTCAAACTTTAACAAAATATTTTTCCATTAACTACTTTTTGAGTTATAAGGCTTGAAAGTTACAGTACCGCCGGCATTAGTATTATTTGTAATGTCCAACTGATGATGGTTAAGTGTTAAGAGTCATAATCTTGATATTGTATGTTAAGGCGTTTGAAAGTTGTTCCTTTTATTTTCATTTTTAACGTAAAAAATATTTTGTTATAGTATTTTGAAAAACTCTCGAGATAAGTTACAAAAACGTGTAATGAGAAAAATGGGAGTTTGTATTTTAAAAAATCAATGAGACCTTGATCTGACGCTATCCAAAGTCCAATAAAAAGATTTTTTTTCTACAACTTTTGTCTGAAGCACTTTTCTGTAAAACTTATATTTTCTGAGATAAAAGTTCCAGTACTTTTATTTCACCCTGTATATAACATATTATATATTTTTATATAATTTTAATATCTATGTAACACATACATTATACAGCATATACGTGTCACAGGTATTAGGATTATATAAAGATAAAAAAGTCAGTACAAGCAAAACTGTTTTAGAAAAATGTGATAATCCGATATCGACCTTGGTGATTTCCTGGCGAAAACTAAATGCAACAAAAACAAAAGTAATTATGTGATAAGTACTTATTTATTTGATTTTTCTAATATGCATGTACAGGGTGTTACAGATACATACTAGGCAGTACGACGGGTTGCGCGGCAAACTTTGCATGGCCAAGCGTGGTTTAATAGACAATGACTTTATACATTATAAAGTTTATATACTACAAAGTTTTATTATTTATATTATAAAGTTTATGTTATAAAGTCACTGTCACTGTCTGTTAAACCACGCTTGGCCATGCAAAGTTTGCCGCGCAACCCGTCGTACTGCCTAGTATGTATCTGTAACACCCTGTATGTGATATTATATATTGCTATATTATAATAAATACTTTTTTCTTATTTATTATATATTTTTTCTAATGCAAGGATTTTTCTTGTATTTCTTGATTAATGTTTTTCTACTTAAAAAAATTTAAGATATAATAGAAAATATTATAAAAAAAAGATATATATACATATATATAGAAAGAAAAATTTAATAAAAAATTATATTTTATCGGATGTGTTTCTGCCTACAGATGATTTATGCATTACTTAATCTGGCCCAAGGAGACTCTCGTATTCGTGGTAATTGTATTACTTGTACAGTGACGGGAAGAGTCTCAATGCACGAACCGAATTTGCAAAATGTGCCAAAAGATTTTAGTTTTGCAGACAATAATCTTGTTGTGAGCGTAAGGATGGCATTTGTACCATCTCTAGGCAACATAATGCTATCCGCTGACTATTGTCAACTCGAATTACGCCTCTTGACTCATTTTTCACAAGATTCGGTATTGTGCAAAATCATGAAACAGCCGGGTGACATTTTTAAAAATATTGCTGCTAAATGGAATAATGTAGCAGAAGAACAGGTACCCACTCTGATATAATAATGAATTTACCACAAATCTATATATATTTAGTATTGTACTATTTATTCGGTTACCTTTAAATACTGTACATATCATTTATTTATTAATTATATTAATTACCCGAATATCTAGGTAACCAGTGAAATGCGTCAGCGTACTAAACAATTATGTTACGGTATGATTTATGGCATGGGAGTGAAATCATTGGCCGAAAATCTATGTATAAGTGAACCTGAAGCTCAAGAGTTTTTAGAGTCTTTTATGAGCGCATATCCTGGCATATATAAATGGTTAAATGATGTATTAGAAGAAGCACATCATGATGGATATGTGACAACGTTGCTTGGAAGACGCAGACAACTTCCGGATTTAAGTAGCACAAAATCATCTGTGAGAGGTGAATATTGATTATCATATATTGATGTCGTTTGCATTTTATGATTTGACAAATTGTATATCTGTTGAATTGTAGCACAAGCAGAACGACAAAGTGTAAATACAAGGGTACAAGGTTCCGCCGCAGACATAGTTAAGAAAGCCATGATAAGTATAGAAGACAAGATAAGATGTTACTTTCCGGATTCGGCTATAATATTTCCAGAGGTGCATACCACTCGCAAACTACGAAGCAATTTACAACAAAGAGGTGGTTATTTAGTTTTACAATTACACGATGAATTATTATACGAAGTAAGTACTATCAATTCTTTATATATTTACTATAAATTTAAATTTGTTTAGTCTTGTAACAACTTATAAGAGTTACAAATACAAAAAAGGTAATTTTTTAATGTTATTTCAGGTCAACTTAGCAGATTTAAAGAAAGTTGCTGTTATAATCAGAGAATCGATGGAAAATGTGTGCCAACTTACTGTGCCATTGCCAGTAAAAATCAGAGTTGGACCTGCATGGGGTGATTTAAACGATTATCAATTTTAGCAGACATATCTAATCATAGCGCGTTAATCATTATTTTTAAATTGCTATTTTTATACACTTTTAAATGATTGATCATTGTTAGACTATATTTATAGATCATGCATTTACCAAATATTTATACACGTTTTTTATATTTGTGGAAATTGTAAGTACTTGATTCTTTATTTTAACTCATATTATTCGTACCATTTTCATCAGTCATAGAGATTTAGAATCAATGAAAATAGTTAAAATGAAATTTAGTATTTTTCGATGAAGCATTAATTATCATATTTATAGATAAATTAAAAAATTTTTCTATATTTAAACAAAATTTTTATGATATTGAAACTTAATTGAATCGCGTTAGTATTTAAAAGTAAAATACTACTTCGTAAAAGAAAACTCATCAAGTACTACTCCAGTGAAAATATTTCATCTTTTTTCACATCTTTTATATTTTTTCAATTGTAAATGTTCTTAATTATTATCTCAATCTCTTTATTATGCTCTATTTATCTCTTTAATATAAGAAAAAAATAATATATAATAGAAATTAATATATATAATAGATAATGTAAATAGTTTTATGATGGATTGCAATATCTCTTGTGTTTGATAAATTTTTACATTTATATTTCTTACTTTGGCGCTCAAAAGAGAAAGAAAGATTATAATTCATGTTTTTTCAATAAAAAAAAAAAAATATTTTAAATATATTTCTCTATGTACACTTATCTCTTCTTTTTATTTTAATTTTCTTTTATTCTTTATGAAAAAAAACAATAGAAAATTAAATCAACACTGTTAAAAGAATATGAGATTTAGTACTAGACTTCGTCCATTAAATATAATAATACGTAATATAAAATATTACTAGTCTTCATCAATATATAGTCTTTAAATTATGTGATGATTATCATTAATGATATAATAATATAATTTATAACGAAATATAGCATTAAATTCACACGTATGGAGATACAACATAAAAAAATTGTTTACAGAAAATAAATATATTATTAACAATAAAAAAATGATATTTATTTTAATAAACATCTTTTGCGCTATATTACATCGCTAGGCGGCGCCAACGATTGATGCAATTTCGTAACCGCCGTTTGAACTATCTGCTGGAAAGTCTCGTCCTTGCTGGTCACATCCAAATTCAACAAGTCTATATGCGCCTTCTTACCATCTACTGTGACATAGAGTTTCTCGCCTTTGAATATCTTGGGCACAGAATCCTCACCGAACATCTCCTGCAGCATCTCTATGAGGCACTCCTTGAAGTGCATCCTGTCCATTTTGGTGGGTGCAGGCAAAACCTTCGGTGACTGATCCATTATTTCGGCCTGCAGGATCGCGGTGAGAACAGAATCTGCATACATGTCATTCACTGGCGTCGCTATCCATTCCATCGTGATGATCTTGCCATCAATCGTGACATCGACGTTCTTGAATATTCTCAGTTTCTTATCGTCTACGACCTCTAGGTGACCGGCTATCTGTGTCAGCAGGTGCTTCAGTACAGGTAAAGATGCGGAAAAGTAAACGCTTTGCCGTTGTATAACTTGACTCATACTCATGTCCGTGTACTTGGACAGATCACATGGTGCTAGCATATGATAATTGAAGTTCCTCTTGACCAACACGCCGGATAGTGTCTGTCCCGGTCTAGGAGTTTCCATCGCCAGCGTACCCATTACCTTGGCAGTCTTCTCGCCCCTGAAGTAGAGTTCCACCGCGACCGTGTTTCGCGGATTATGTATTTCCATGGTGGTGTTGGGATCGTCCTCGTATTCCCGTTGTAACGCTGCTTTCAACCTACCCATTTCGTTCTGCTCACCATGCACCAGCACTACGTGCGGTGGTTTTAAAGTACGTATAAATTCCGACGTTTGCTGATAGTCGGTGTGAGCTGAGAATGAAATGTAATCAACAGACATCTTCAGTGGTAATTTTTGCCCAGACATAGTCGTAATCTCTTCTGGTTCCGACAGGATAGTCTTCGCTAGTGTACCCTCCACACAATAGCCAGCTATAATTACCCCATTTTTGGCATCTGTGCACCACGATTCAAACAACTCTCTGGACAAGCCACTCTGCATCATACCAGGTGAGGCCATCACCACGCATGGACCAATGTCCTCAAAGTGATCTATGCCTTTCAAATTGGAGATATGTTTGAATACGAAAGGGTTGTTGATGGCTATCTGCCGCCTGATCTTGTCATTCATGGCGTTCACATATGTCTGATAAACAGCCATACACTTCTTCGCCAATGAGGAAGCATAATAGATTGGTATCTCATGTAATTCCGAATGCTGACTCCAATACTCGTCCAGAATAAGAAGAAGCTCTTGTGCTCTTCCCAGAGCAAATACAGGTATTAAGCATCTGCCACCTCTGTTGACAATCTCATGCACAAGATTCGTGAATCTACCTTCTCGATCCTCTCTCTTCTCGTGAATATGAGTGCCATAGGTGGACTCTGTGATAAGTACGTCGGGATGAATATTCGGGATCTCGGCAGCCATTAAATGTCTGTCCTCCTGCCGGCTAAAATCTCCCGTATATAGAATCTTTACGCCTGCAATCTCTATCATAAACATAGCAGCACCCAACACATGACCCGCATTGTAGGCCCAAAATTTGATTCCGAACATGTCTTTCTCCTCATGGAAGTTAATTGTCTCTATTTTGTCCATACTGGTTTCCAGATCGGATTCTGTGTACAGCATCTGCTCAGTGGCTATGTTGCTCACCTTGATGTAGTCTGATAGTAACCAGCGATAAATTGCCTTGGTGGCGTGTGTCATAAAGCAGCGACCCTTGAAGCTCGTCTTTAAAAGAAACCAGGGTAGTGCTCCGCAATGATCCAAGTGAAAATGAGAAATCAGCAACAGGTCAATCTCATCGGCCTCGACAAGGTCGACGAACGGAAGGGCGTCCATTCCCGAAAGCCCGGGATGTATGCCGCAGTCCAACATAATTTTCTTCCCTTTAAATTCTAACATGATACATGACCTGCCGACTTCCTGGCCTGCACCAAGAGGCCGGATCGAGAGCAAGTCGCTCTCCTCGGCCGGCACTTGCGTGTCGCTTTTTCTCTTCGTCGACATTTTATCAAAATAGTTGATTCTCCTTAATGAATTATTTCCTTGCTATTTCTTTCTTATATCGTATGCAGAACTTCTTCAAAAAAGCGTACGTTAAGATCGTTAAGCGGCAAGCATTTTGAGGTTATGTAACACACAACAAACTCGTGAAACAGCCTGTTCTTTTTAACTGGACTTCTTGCCACGATTCAGCTTTCTTTCTTTTCTCTCCACGTTGGAGAGAAAAAGAGAAAAGATGAACTGGCAAGACGTGAACTAAAAAGAACAGACCTAATTGTGTTCTTTATAGCTGCACTATATTATACTTTCTGCACTTAAAATGAGATAATTATAGATAATTAAATGTTGAAGAGACAGAAAGAGGGAAGATAAAGTACCAGGTCTGTTCTTCATTCCTGTACTGTCTAAACCGAGCACACTGTATAAAAAATTTAGACGAAACAAAATTTATATAAAGAACAAACATTAAGCTTCTGGCATATAGTATATATTCCCCATATTCCCAGGCTATGTTCCAAAACTTCCTCTACGGCCGGTATTCATAGTCAGATCTTAAGGCCCGTCTACAATACACGAAGTACAAGTAAGAATAAGAAATTGACCAATCACAGTCGATTATTCTTCTCACATTCGA